GTGTGTGTGTGTGTGCGTGCATGTGTGCGCACTCGTATATAGAGAGACAAATAGAGTGGTAAAGCGACGCGTATCTATGTATACCTGAGCGCGTCCTATCGCTTTTCTCGTGCTCATTTATGTGAACTTGTGTGAGCACCGAGCATGCTACCCACCGGCTATGTATGCATGCGTGTGCGTGACTGACGTCCCATATGTACCGTTATATAATTACACACAGCGTATATATATGTCACAGATGTGTAACTGCATGTAGCGCATATATAACGCGCGGATCTGGCTGCAATGTAGGCAAAGAGCGAATATTATGTTTACTCGTACAAACGCTTCCGCGATGCAAATAATCTGGTATTATTGCACTTACTCCGGAGCTTCTGGGTTTATGGCTACATGTATATGTGCAGAAACATCTCTGACTCTTTAGTGCCATCTCTGTTAATCCCCCTCCTGGTGCAGCCTCCCACCCTTTTTTTCTCCTCATTCACTTCTATTATTCAGTCACCCTCTTTTTTTCTTTCTTTTTCTTCGAGCTGTCTATTGATATATACGTGTACCTGCAGCTTTTCGAGCATCAATCTTCTAAATTCTTTCTATTGTGCAGTCAAACTGAGGTATCGAAGTTCATTCGTTTGAGTTCTGAAAAAAAGTGTCATTTTCCTTTTAAAACAATATTTTTGTGACAATAGTTTAAATATTATCAACATAATCTTGATGGTTTGAGTAACCATTACAATAAAATTAAAATTTTTGGTTTTTCTCGAAAAAGCACAGATTTACATCGTTGACATCAAATAGATTTTGTAAGTCCTTAAGGACGAGTTTTCTTGGTCAGAAACCATTCAAAGCGAATGTACGGACATGCCTTTACTCATGTCTTCCTAAGATCTTCGGCATGCGAATTCTATCGCATAACGAATTCCAAATATCTCCCGAGCTCAATCTGACATGTTTGTAGTGTCAACACATGATGATGCTTTTAACAAGGTTTTATTAATATTTATTTAAAATCCCTATTATTTTCTATATTATTTACACTATATGACAATAACTAAGATGAATTTTTGTAATGTGAGAGAAATTAAATAAAAAAAGTTAATTTATTGATATTGTACGGGAGTCGATAAATGACAAAGAAATCTTATTCCATTAATTGAAATGAATGTATTTGTGAATGAAAAGAATTTATCTCTTTTAACCAAGAACATCTAAAAAGAGCAAGAAGTATAATTGTTTCTTTTCGTTCGTCTCATAAAATGATCTCCTGAAAATTACAGTAGGTATTTGATCTTCATAGTCATTATCTCATTCGGACGAGTCATAGTTACTCTTGATCGTATACTTACAAATATTTAGCACTGTTTAGCCCATTAGAAAGTACAAGCGCATGCGAAACAATATCTGCTTGAGTTGCCATATAAGCTCGCGGAAATAGATGGTAAAAGCGTATACATGTAACTGAGCGCGAGTTTCACAAATCAGACCTCTCTCTCTCACTCACTGAGCGTCAAAGTATAGAGCTTGAAAGATTACGACGCCATCTTGGATGTTGGTAAATATACCGCCCCCTCTAAAATAGGAAGCTTGTAAAGATTGAGTGAAGGGTGAGCGACGTATGTACATACACCAGAAACTCAGGATACACCAGAAGTTCGGATTTTCTTCGGTGTTTCATACGTGGGAGTGTATGCGCGCGCGTGTGTGTAAATGTGTTCTTTCATCTCGCTACTGCTTGGGGCTTTTTCTTATACACACTCCTATCCGGTGTGTCTTGAAGGACGATTGTAACGGTGGTAGTAGCGGTTAAGCGTAAGTCAGCGCACAGAGAAAAAACGAGTGTGAAGAGGCAGCAGCATCGCGGAGGTATTTTGCCGTCACAAAGAATACTGTCGGCTTTGCATCTTTTCAAAGATGCTACTTTACGGACGAGGCAGCCAAGCAAGCAGGCAGGCAGGCACGGAGCTTGTTGTTGGCAAAAAGGGGCGGAAGTCACTGTGCTTTTTTCGTTTTTTTTTCTTCTAAGAGTCTATGTAGCAGTCGCGTTGCTTTACTATAGACTGAAGTTCGCTCTCTCGCGCACGCTGTCACTCTTTACGGAGGAAATTATTCTCCTTGTTTCGCTGTGCACATCGCAGTCGCGCGCGCGCTACACTTGCCTTTTTATATTTGCGCCTTTACCTCGCTTGGATAGCTTTTATATTCTTTCGCCGCGAGCGTCGCTTTTTTTCTATCCTAAACTTTTTCAGTTTTTAAAAGGGGTTGCGCGGGCTTTATGATTAATCGTCTTTGTTTGCTCTTTTACTTGGTGATGGAGGAGACATGTTTGATAAGCATTTTCTTTTTTCATTACACATATGATCGATTCATTTGTTTTGGCAATAAGATGGCTTTCTACGATATTAATTTTTTCAGGATAACGTAATTTTTTTCCTTTCTCTATTATCTTATCCTAGCCAGATGAGAAAAAGAGCAATATTTATTGAATCGGTTATCATGAATCATTCGAATCGTTATCATAATCGACCCAACAATGGGAAAGCTATTTCTTATGTCAAATAAATGTACCCAGTGAAGTTTACTCTTAAAAGCAATCGATTACGCGAGCATTAGCCTTTAAGTACAGCAGCTATTATATAAAATTCGACGATTTTCCACCCAACAAACTTTAGTCTTCGTCATTCATTCGATAATCTTTTGGCAAACCGACGCGTATAGGAGCAACGCCGGACAAAAATCAAGCGGACAATCGTCCCCGGGTATTTTATATTTGCCGGCTTAAGCATATATATAAATAAATAAAATCGTTTCTTCGCTACCCCATCTCCCGTTGAAGCGCGCACACACACAGTAGGAGCATTAAGTCTCGCTGCGAGCTCGCCGTCGATGATGCTACCCTGTGTGCGTATACACACATACGTGTGCGTTAGCTTTGCCACTGCACTACTAATACTTACTGCTGCGCGGGGCTACACACAATGCACAATAAAAGAGCATTAGTAGATCGAGCGCGCCAACACGAGCACATACATGTATATAGCAGAAACAGGGCGCGCGGCGCGACTTATGTAGTCGAGTTTCTGCCGGTCGACTCGCTGCCGCTGCTGCAGCATAGGTCGCTGCGAGAAAATACAATGGCGTGAGCGTATTATACGTATGTGCTGCGGTAGTCGCGCGTTTGCGAGTATACTCGAAGCACCTGGCAAACAAGGAAACAATGCAGCCTTGGCGCGACCGCGCGTACACTTCGACGGGATTTCGCGCATTTGGCCCTGTGCAGTATTGCGCACGGCATACAACAGCAGCACCAGCAGCCACTCGACGGCCGACCAACTCCTGTTGCGAGCCGCCAGCGCGTCTATCATAAATTACCACTTCGCCAATTTTTCTTTTCTCCTTATTTTACACATTTTTTAGAGGAATTAATTTTAAGCTGGCATGAATATTTAAAATTGCTCTGGGTGGAAAGGGTTGAGAGTGTGTCAACTGTCGCGTCTGAACGAGCTCGACTGCCGTATAAAAAGCTTTGATGAAAAATTTTCATATAAATTATGCATAAGTTTATAGTGACATAGCTAATGTTATGCACTCGCGTCAACTAAAGACTCGTTTAAGATGCAACATCATCAATACTTGGCATGATTTTTAGGGATTGAAAGCGTTTGTCTAAAATTAGTACTCTTTGCAGCTACTATTACTCATTTTTTTGTACATAAAGCATGTGAAAAGACAATTCTCATTTTTGTAAAACTGAGAAAAGTCATTTTTAACAAAGCCTTTTACACATTGAATAATTAAAAAAGAAATGTGCACAGAGAAACCTGCCACTTTTTAAAAATTATTCTTAACTTGCACGAGCTTTAAGATTTGTACACACGATTAAGAAAAAAATATTCACCGAGGAAAAAATTATTTTCTCGAGGGCTCTGTCGCACAATAGCAGCCAAAGTTAAAACAATACACCCTAAGCCAAGATTTCTCTTTTTTTTTACGCAATTGTATAGGTTTCGCTTTACTTATATACGATATACGAGTACGGCCTAACGCGCACTTGAAGTCGCGGCTAAGTACTTTCGTCCGATATATACGCATACACACAAATGCGCGAGGGGGTTATAAGCGTCGAGTTGTAGCACTGTGTGTGATTGTCTGTGAATATACATACTGCGAGGAAATAAAATGAACTACGACCCGCACTTTCGCTGTTTTTCAGCTTATGCTATATATCACTTGCTATAAATATAACTCAAAAAGAGAACAAGAAATGTTTATAATTGGGATTGTCAACCCTCGATGTTTCATGAAAGAGATTAATTTCCTTGATATAGAGTGCAGTTTGTGATACAAACCTGTTTTTAATAAAAGAAACGTATAAAGTTTTACCTTCCTTTGGCAATTCATCTCTTTATATAATTTTAAAAAATTGACAAATTATTCTATAATATTCATGGAAGTATACTTGAAGTACACGATTTACATCAATATTCTATATGCTATCAGTGAAATCGATAAGTGTTTACTGAGCTACTTTCAATTTCATTCACGCCATGATTCATTTTGTCTGAGCAAGTCGATATGCAGCTAAAGCTGTATGGAGAATTTGCATATGATTGAATTTTAAATCGATGAATGCTGTATCTCGAGTGTTACTCAATATATCGAGATAAAACGAAATTATTAATATAGTTGAGCAGATGCTTTGGAGTATTTTAATATGCTTTACGCTTACAACGCATACATTTTGACCCAAAACTCCAGAAATCGAAATACCTCATACCAAATGAATTATATATAATAAAATTGCAAAATATTTACCACTTTTTTTTCAATGCTTTTATTAGTGTAATAAATATTTATAACTAAATATTTATAATCATAATTTTCTTCAACATTTATGTAAAATCTAATTGACTTTGTTCAAATTAAATTTAAAACAAATTAAAAATTAATAAATTTCCTATATTAGACGAGGAACCATATCTCTGGATCACTATGTCAGGATGTATTAAAAAAGTTGTATTATATTTTTTTATATTTTATATTAATAACAAAGATATTTGGTTTACAAATGTTATTATCTATATACATATTGAATTCATACATCGTTTCGTTAACTGTTGAACAGTTCATAATTTGAATTACGTTATACTCGATTTCAGTGAAGCGCACGCGAAGAGAAGCCCTGTAGTAAAAATTTCTTAGCTAGGAAAAATGACCCAGAGTCTAACTGTGTCGATTTTCTGTTAGAGTACACAGTGATATTTATCATATTTTATTACAAAAGATTTTATGAATATAGTAAAAATCACTGTATCCTATAACAGAAACCATCATAGTTGTGGGACTCTTTTTTAAAGAACAAAGCAATATATACCATAAGCCTTCTCTTCGTGCAGTTAAACAACCACACGTGTTATAAATCACGTCAAGTTTGAGGTAACGTCAGGTCAAATTATTATTTTCATATCTAACTTTTTTCAATTATTTCTTGCATAATGACTTATAATCAAATAACTAGATTTTCTACAAAATGTACACATTCTCACCGGTCTTCATGTCGGTACGGTGACAGAATTATGTAAATTTATTTTTTATTTAAAAACTCTATACGGTTGCAAGATTCAATAAACAACATATATGATACATGGTACTCTGAAAATCAAAGTAAATATAATCCGCAGTTTGCGAGAACAGTTAAGTTTTTTAAACTTCTAAATTGCACAAATCTCGTGAAACTAAATGTATTTTTACAATATATTTCTCTGTAATGAATACAATTAAATTGTTCGATGACCGCGTATTATTTTAATTTAAAACAAACAATAATTTCAATGGTAAAGTTCTATGCACGCAAGAGATTTTTTTGTAGTATAAAAATATGGCTTCCGTAGGCAGACATAAATTAGTTATCTTCTTACTTGTATCCAAATGGATATGAGTATTGCATTCTGCTTGAATGAGTTGATGTTTTGGTGAAAGGAGCAAAGCTGATTTCTTTACGTGGTTTTACTGGTGTATGAAAGAAATCAGTTGTTGGTTTAGATCAGTTAAAAAATTCATCGTCATCAAAAGGATCATTTTCACGACGGAATATATTAACTGACTCAGACTTCTTGATAAATTGGTCTCCTTTTCCTCTACCATTATTATATTTTAAGTGTCTCGAAGATTTCATTGGGATGGTTGTTCTTTCTGGTACTTGATCTTCTAATTCCGAACGGAAGGTAAAAGCATCATCATCAAATCTTGGATCACCGTTGAAAAAGGAATCTTTCCCACTATCCTCGGATGCAAAACCATCTACATTAGGATCTTTCACCTCAGTAGTCAGATCTTCAGGAGTTACCTTCAAATCAGAGCCAATTCTTTGTCTATCCGATGCGTCGCTTGAAGCGCTAGGTGTAGGAGTGAGATCATCGTCGAAGTAACTAGATGACTTGTATGCTTTTGGATCCCTTTTGCTTGAGTCTTTAGCTCCTCGAGGACTCGCAGGTTGTTTGATATCAATTTCAGGTCTAATTCGATTTTCTACGTTAACTGGATCGATCGGTGCTTCAGTACGCTCCACACTTTGAGTGAAGTCATCTTCAAATGGGGAACTTTGCATTTTTGGCTGCGGTCGACCCCTGTGTCTATTCATTCTTTTACGATGCAAACTTTCACCCTTTCCTTCTGGCCCTTCAGACCAATAAGGTCGTTCGCACCAATCATACTCTTGATCACTCTCCCAATAACTATCACGGCTTCTTGATCGATAAGGACGATGGTATGGATCAGCATCATTGTCACTGCATTCTGATCTTGACATAGCACATTTAGGTCTAGGATCCATGTAAATCATTTCTCTTCCTTCATTTGCGCTATTAGGTCGTTTTGGCCAAGGTTTCTTTCGAGATAAATACCTTGGGGATTCCTCGGTTCTTTTTGTTTCATATTCTTCTTCCCAGCTCGGCGGGTAATCATAATATCGATCTCTACCTTCTCGAAAATAGTGTGGATCGTGAGGCTTTTTATAAATATCACGTGCAATATAATCACTTTCCGACATATTGGAAGGAGGACCACGAGCTCTATGTACCATATTGTCATCTTCGTAACGCCGTCTGTCGTATTCTCTCCTATACCATCGTTCGGCATCTTCAAATCCCATGCTTTCTTGACTACTGAATCGCTCTCTATTGTCGCGTTCTTCTTCTGTCCAAGGTCCCATTCTTCTTTCACATTCTTCATCGTAAAATTGATGTTCAGGTCCCCAAAAACCTTCTCTTTCACCATTCCAAGGTCGTTGTTTGGATCTGTGTTTCCAATAAGCTTTATATTCTTCCTCATTCTTATAAGGAGCTTTACGCAGTGGATGTCGTCTTCGTTCTTCTTCCCACCTTGATTCGTCGTACCAAGACATGGGTTCCCGGTTTCTATATGCGCTTTTAATTCGAGCTTCTCTGATTTTTCGCGTCATTTTATCATGGAACATGCGATTTTTCTCATCTTCTGACGCATCTTCGTAAAGTGGTCTATCTTCAAAAGGTGGTAAATCATACCTGGGATACGATCTAGCAGGACAACATGGTCCTTCTCTCTTTGGTCTACCATTGCTTTCCTCGCTCTCGTCATCTTTCCATTCATTATCACTTTCTCCTGGAAGACGATGTCGAGACCTCCTTATTGATCCTTCTCGTACGAATTCCTTCCCTTCGGGCGACCATGGTGAAGCACCACTGATTGATTTGTCTTGTGCCTCACTAATTTGTTTAGAAGTTACAAAATCAGTCGACTCAAATTTAGCCCAATTTTCGTCATCGTTAGAAGAATCTTTTTGAGGCTTATTTTCGATTAAATTTTTTGGAACAGAATCTACATTTTTTGGTTTACAAGGATCTGAATCGAGTGTTTTTATTTCTTCAAAAATATCCATTAAGGCCGACATTGTATCTTCTTTTTTAGTTATTGCCGTTGCTACCGTTGTTTGAGGTACAAAAGAATCTGCAAATAATTCTTGCAAATCGTTTTCGGCCGAAGATTTTATGACACTCTCTTTTGAAGAAATAAACAGATCATTTTTCATGATTGGTGCTTCAACTTCCTCTATTATTTCTCGTAAAGCAGCGTACCTATCACTAGATGTCGATATTGATGTTTTCATTTCGTCCTTTTTATCGGCAAACTTTGATAACTCATTTGCTTCATCAGATGTTATGATAAAATTATCGGAAGGTTCTCTTGACTCATCATCTTTTTTACTACCTTTCATGCTTTCAGATTGATTGAAAATTTCTAAGTCTTCATTGTTACTTTCTAGCATATCACTAGGTGAGTCGTTTGTTTTTGAGATATCTTTATCGAAAGATTGGTCTTCTGGTTCAGTCTCATCTATTGGTGTCATTTCCTTGTATTTAGGAGAATCTGAATCTTCGGGATTTGATTTCACGTCGTCATAATATGAAGCAACTTCTTTGGATTGATCATCAGAGACTGGTGGTAGTTTTACCATTAAACTAGAGTGATTGTTAATATTTTCTTCAATCTCATCGCTGTGAGCATCTTCTTGATCATCAAGGTCACCTGACTCTTCTCTATTTTCTAAATTCATTGGATCTTCATCTTCGCTAAACTTTTGCGATTTTACATCGCTTGTTTCTTGTTCAATTTCAATTAATTCTCTAAAAACTGCGTACTTATCATACGAACTATTATTTTCTGCCTTAGGCTCATCATCAAATGTAGCTTTAAAAAGTGGTTCGTTCGTTACAAAAGAAGAAGTTTCTTCTGTTTTTGATTTATTTGGCTTGTTCGAATTGAAACTAAAACTATTTTCAGTATTTTTTGTTTCAACATTAGTTGGTTTGGTACATTCTGTTTTGTTTCCCTGAGTATTATCTTTTTTCGCTAAAGACTCAATGCATTCTGTGAGTTGTGCTAATGTTAAGCTCGTTACTTCGCTAGTAGACATACCTAAATTAGAAGCCAAATCTGTAAGAAAAGTTGACGTTAATTGACTCAAAGTTATATCTTTTGTTAGATTTGCCCAATTTATTGCTGATTTGTCATTGTTTATTACTGATGCAGGAGATTGTATTATTGAATTGAATGAATCTTCAAAACTTGAATTTGAAAAAGATCCAACATCAGTTCTTTTTGGTAGCTGTGGTAACGGAGGACTAAAATTATCGTCAAATCTACTATTATTTCTAGGTGAGTTTGATCCGTGTGAACGACGAGTTGGCGATGGTGATCCTTCTTCCCTTTCCAAGAAATCATAATGAAAATGACCATCACTGTAAGGCGGTCTGGGAGGAGGTTTAATGCCGCCTCTACTACCATACTTTTTAGGTGGCAAGGGCGGTGGATTAATCAGTATACTTCCAGCTCCCCTAGGCGGAGGATCAGGAACATTTTCCAATTCTGCACTAGAGCTAGATAATCTAGAATTAGCTCCCGAAGAACATGACCTGAGTGGAGATGCTGGTGATTCACTCGTAGATGAAAAATCAATTGGAAAAGACCGATCAACTGATTTATCGAGTGATTTATTCCCAGGGTAATCGGAGAACTCAGATCGTCGCGAACTATATGAATATTTCTTAGGGCTCTGTATTTTGACCGAAGACTCGTCTTTATCATATCGACTAGAAATCATAGAATTAGACATTCCGTAACCATACGAATTTTTTGAAGTAGTTTTTTCTTCAGGGGGTAATGAAACAGACAACGACTGCTGCTGAACTTTTCTATTCGCATCTTTCATGGACATTTTAGGTGAACTAATTTTTTCTGTAGAAATCGTATCTTTACTTTTAAACTTATCAAATTCAGAAAATTCGTCATCGACAAATTTTTTTGCGTCACTTTTATCTAATTTGGATTTACTTGTATCCATTAAATCTGAGACTGAGGATTTATTAAAATCTGTAGGAAAAGTATCATCGAAATTTGTTGAAACTAATTCTTTCAAAACTTTTTTAGGAGGATTCTTTAAGTGTTGGAAAAAATCTTTTTTATCTACATAAGGTTTTTTAGAACCTGTGCCTAAAGGATCCAAGTCTGAGAAGATGTCCAATTGCTTATAATGATCGTGTTGAGTTGAACTGGAGAGTGTCTGAAAATAAACCATGATGATTATGTTTATTATAATGGTACTTAAAATTTACAAATAAAAGCTACTTATGCTATGAATGCTCTACAAATAAATTGTAATATTTATAATTCTAATCAATCATTTTTAACTATTATACATTATTTTAACTATTATATATTTTTAACTATGATGAATATTATTTTAGATAAATTGTTTTTTACCAACCATTTCTTTTTCTTCGTTGCTACTAGATGAATCTTTTCTCTCGATGTTAGAAGATTGACTCTCATTGAAGAACTTTTCTGCATTTTTGTCAAACCATTGACCTGAATCTTTGGGTGGAGGCGTTTTATTGGTAATAATATTAGCAGGACTAGGAGCACCCGTAGATGTTGGAGTGTGTTGAAGAGTTTGCTGCCTTTCAAAATGACCTCTTTTCGATGAAGAAGGAGGAGGAGGTAAAATCGGTTTAATTTGTTCTTTTATCTAAAATTAAATTTGCATTTTTAATTAAAATATTTACTACAAATAAAACTTTATAAAAGAAATTGAACATCTTACTTTCATATTTGCGAATGAATCTCCAAAAGGATCGGCATCAAACAAGTCATCGGTAGGTCTAGGATTATCAGGAGTTATTTTATCCATTTGGTGAATACCTTGCTGTAATGAATTTAATTCAAATTGTAAATCTAAAAGGTCAGCTACTACTCCACTTTGGGCTTCATGTTTTTTTGTGCGTTCACTATCGGAAGCAGTTCTATGAAGGGACGTTTCACTACCGGCTGCTCCCTAGAAGCAAATTTGAGATTTTCGAAATTTGGGAATGATTTTATGATACCTAGTGCGTTGATTGAATATTTTTTATCAATTACCTTAGTATCAGGTGACCGTTCGGAATGAACGTTACACCTGACAGAAGCATGCTCGATATGCTGCTTGGCTAGTTCAATTTCTTTTTTCTTCAGCTCAAAAACTACTTGGAATAGATCGCGCATTGCAATAACTACCTGTAAGCGTTTGATTGATTATTTAAATATTAACGTACCAAGTTATTTTTTAAGAGAAATATTTGCAAGAATATAAATTTTTTCATACTTGACTAGCTGCTTTATCCGTCTTAATTCCAAAAAATCGGTGACCTGTATCAGGTGAACCAAAAATGTAACCAAATGCACGCGAATCGCTCATATCTTGTGCTATGAAGGATATTTTATGAACTGGATGGTGATACAAACAATCCTAAAGCATAAAATAGTCACGCATTGATGTCTGATTACAGTTGAAACTTTTTCAGATATATTCATACTCACTCCATTTTTTTCGTCTCTTAGTCGAAGACCATCGATGCTGATTTGTACGGTGATACGTTGCTTGTGTTCTCCGGCAGCCCGTATAGCCATCTTTAAATCGGCTAGTGCCGCTTGACACATCCGATCGCCTCGAGCTTCTGATACTTCCAGAATACCAATTAGCTTGGCTTTGAAGGATACCCCGTCTCCGAGAAAACGGGTAGGTTCGTTTTTTACTGGAATAATAAATTAAAATTAACATTAGTTACTACGATAGGGTTTCATCAAAGCTCTACTCATCGTTTGGTGAAAATCATATTTATTTTTTAATTCTACGCGTGATCCAATCGAAAGGGTGCATTTGAATTATTAATGCGATTCAGTCAATCGAGTATTAAACGGAGGCGTGCGGCAACAGCCGGTATCAATACTTCAAGTTACTTTGTGGCGTAATTCTGTTATATGAAGCTTCAAACCACTTTTTTGTCCCGCAGAGAATGAAACTATTCTGCTTGTCAACTTATTGCAAGTCTCTCCATCTCACTTTCCTCGCTTTTCTCTTCTCTATATACATTTCTCTCTTGCTCTCGCTCTTTCTCTTTTTCGCTGTCAGCAAATGCAATCACGTCGAGCATGCAAGCGGGGATCAAATTGAGTTTTGCGTCGTGGGGGGTTCGTGGGCTGCTGCTGTTTCTACGCCAAATATAACAGCGATAGGTACAAACGAATTAAGTCGTCGTCATCGTCGACAAGCTAGATCGATTTACGTCTGCTCGAAGAAACGCTTATAAACGTCTATAGTATACAGGCTCGTGATTTTGTACGACCATCATCCGATTTTAAACTTCCCGCAGTTTTCGGGTGCAAAACTAATCGTATGAAAAACATTCTTTGTTCTTAGCCTATTCTTCTTTTGTATAAATATTTTTTCATAGAAATAGCATTCTCAAATGATTTCAAATAGCCTTTTTTAGTTTTTTAAAATGTCTAAGTAAAGCGTTGAACTTTAATAACTCATAAAAAATATCATTTGTTTATCGTAGTGCCTTGAGTAAAAAGGGTTGCGAACATCAAAACTGACAATGCGAGTTTTATGAAAAAACGTCCTCTAAAAATAAAAGTCAATATTGACTAAAAACGTTAAATATCAAGAGTTCCATTCAAGCGAATATTATTCAATCACATCCACCTGCTGAGAACAATCAATGTGTATTGTATTTCATACGGGGAGAATAATAACTTTGTCTATGCGCGGAATACACTTGATCAAACTTTTTCTCTCTCTCCCTCTCTATCTCTTTCTCTTTTGGTCTCTCCAGCTGCTCGAGCGCTTTCGGAAACTCAAAGAATCAACTAAAAAAGTCCTAATGTATACATAAGCAGTCGTGAACACACATTTATTTTTGCATGACGTATATACATACGATTGTATTGCTCGCTCGAGTGGAGGAGCCAACTGTCGACACTCGGTGTGGTATACATATATAAACTATACTAGAGACATAGAAAGATGAAGAGAGAGAGAGAAAAAAACTCGTATAATTCGTACGCTCGCCCTCCCAGGCAGTTGTGTTCATAATATGCGTGCGGCAAGTGTCGTGATTCTCTCTTATTTCAATCCTCGGCAGTGCTGCTACTGGTTCGTCTGTAGGCTGCCGGCCACTCGAGTCTCGTAGCGCCAGATGCGTCTGTAGTACACATCGAGACTCGCTACACCGCATGCCCTGATAATATTCCGCAGCTATTAAGATAATGTTAGGAGCGCGTACCACGCCGTGCTGCGCCTGTACCATGCACACTCGTCGTGCTCGTCGTCGAGCGAATTCTCGAGTGCGTAATTGAAGGTGGCCCCGACGTATCGCGCAAATGAAAAGCACAATTATGCTCCCGGAGCATCTCGAGAATCTATTATGATCGCGTAGCGAATATACGCGGGTGTTTTTTTGTCACTTCATTTGTGCGTCATTGAATTTTCGATTACTACGCAGCCCTAATTGAGTTATATGCTGCGTTGCGGCCGAATTTTTGCTCGTCTTGTCGCACCATTTATAAATCGCGAAATTATTACTTACGAAGAAAATGTAGTTAAGGTAAATTATGTATGCGCGATCGATAAGCATCGTTCGATCTACATCACGTATAGCTAGCTCTGAATTGAACAAAAACACGGAAGAATGCACGGAGTCACGCGATTCTCATTTTTGCAGCTCAGTTTCTAAAATTCGTGTTAATTACAATCTCATATTACATAGAACGTGAAGGGAATGAAAAGGGATGACAAAAGTAGAACAACGTGAAATAAAAATACGTGGGGAGTCGAGTTCGTGCAGCTTCCTTATTGCCGAGAGAAAAATCAATAAAAACGAAGCATCGAGAGCCAGCCTATACACCGGTCGACATAGATTTGCCGAATTGGCTGACAAAAACGGCTTGAACTACTGCGGATTCGCGATATATTTCGCAGAGGCAGTCATCGGTCGGCGCTACGTGCTGAAGAGCAAAACACAATTGATGTCGCTCGGAGTTCGTGGAGTTCGTGGGGTCACCGATGGCGCCATCTAGCACGAGACGAGCGCGTAAAACTACCCCCTTGCAACTCGAGTGGAGAGCAGCGAGAGCAAAAATCTCCGGTAAGGTAGATTGCGCAGACGGGGGGTTAGACCTCGTTGCTCCGCAGCCTCTACGTTACATGTACGTGCGTAAGAATCAGCTGAAGCAATTGTCTGCGTGTGTGAGTGCGTGAACACTCATTTTGATACATGATTCATTGGATGCTTATGTGTAAGCTATACGTATGTAATCGAGTCGATCTCGACGTCAATTAGGCTCGTCATTCTCAATGACTGTACTCGATCTTTCGGACTGGCGAGGCTCGCCTTCGATTCTACACATGCATGCCAATAACAATAGACGAGCCGAACACAAAACACGATACACATCGAGTTGCAACGCCAAGTTGCATTCACGAGGAATACAATGATGTTTTCACCTTGGCCTCGACAAGTCGAGTGCGGGCCTCGGGGCTCCATGTGTATCGCTGCGATTGTCAAAAGCTGAAAACCCGATTGTTTTGGCCACTCGTAACAAATTAATCGAATGCAGATGTACTTACACTTGCATGGGCTGTTTTTTTTGCGTAGCGTCTGCATGAGGAACTCCACTTGTCCGGCTTCCCGAAGGACCGTCGATACCGCGTACGACGACTGCTGCTGTCGCTGCTGCAACTCCAGTAGCAGCAACGCGCTCGAGAACGAACGCTCGAATCACTACTCGTACCACACCCGTGCGACACTTTAATCGTAATTACACACGCTTGACATATATACTGGTAAATATATTCGATCGTGCACCAAAAAAAAGATGAGAAGATGATAAAACGGAGTCGTTAGACGGGACGAGCGAGGCGCGACGATGATCTTTTCAAGCGCTGCCCGTGAGTGTGGAGATGATCACTTGCTGCTGCCGTGCCTTCTGCATTCTGCTACTCTCTTCTCTGTTGAAATGACAAAATGAAGCGCGTGAGGAAATGTGCCGATCTCTGCACTCTCGACGCTAAGCGCGCGTTGCGATATTTTTTGTTGTCAATCGGGATGAATAAGCAGCGATGCGAGAGGCGGTGCAACAATGGCAAAATATTTAATTGTGCCAGTGTGCGGATTAAGAATATAAAGTCAGCAGCAGTGTCGACGACGTCTCTATGTTAGTATATATACACTCTCGCGTAAATGTGTGTTAAGCGTATATCTATATATAAGCAGCGCTCACGAGCAGTTGGAAAGACGTACAGCTGCCCTGGTATGTGCTAGTGGTGTAGCAGCAGCAGTACACGAGGGGCCGTCGTTGCACACACAAACATACACACGCACACACATCCAAAGTATACGTTTACACACGCGCGCGCGCAATATACACGCATGTGTGTACAGTATATACGAACGGAGCAACCTTTCGTTTTCAAGGGGTTCGACTCTGAGCGCGCGCGGGGCCTTCCCTGTCTCTCTCCAACGCGCTCGGCAACCCCTAAAGCCGAGCAAAACTGCTGTCTTCTCTCTCTCTCTCTCTTTCTCTCGTTCTCTCGTTCTCTCCCGCTCTCGTTGATCAATAATACAACTCGGACTGGGTGACGCGTGGCGTCGCTCGACTCCCTTAAACGTGACTCCGACGTTATCGCGTTTCAAAGATTCTACCGGGACTCTCTTTAACGCAGTAATTATTTTATTGCCAAGATTAGAGTTTTCGATTTCGAAAATATAATCTCTGTGACATGACACGAACGAGTGCCAAGAAGACAAGTTACGATAATTGAAATGTGGTTGCAGCCAAACAGTTTTGAATTTTCGTGCGAAAATCGAGCATTAGAATGCATCTTTTATCGACTGAAATAAACGAAGGAATCTGTTGGAAGTATAAGAATGCAACGTAGGCTCTCATAATTATGTTATTAAATTTTTGATTTTTATTCTTCCGATACCGACGTATTCATCCTGATTCAAATGCAGTTTTGTTGTTAGTTTTGTTACACGTGATAATTTCAAATACAAGATTTTCCACATGATTGATTGTATCCTTTTTCAAAAATAGATTCTTTATTCTTCTCATGGTCATTTTTTTTATCACTTTTTAATGTAAATTAAAATTGATCAATATAGATACTTGCAACTTTTAAATTTTAGCGCGTCCGCGCTTATCGTGTTAGTTTTAATTTATGCCATGGCGGGTCGCCACCATACAATGTGTACTGCTTTCAGCTGACAAGATGATGTTTTGTTGATTTATACGATTATTAATTACTCTATACCACATTTTCATAGAAAATGTTGATCATTTTTAGAAATTAAGCGTAAAACTGTTATAAAAGTCGTATTTAAAATGTCTCAAGAAGATAATGTGTTATTCGTGAGAAGTGGTGAAACGTGTAAGTGTTAATATTGTTTTAATTCAAGCGAAAAAATGAGGTTATTGACTCAGTTCTGCAGCATATAAACAATCGAATTAGTCTTATTTAACATTTTTCGATTGTTACAAAATTCATTCTTTGTATTTACCTCGTTCTTTTCTGTTAAGCTGTGGACGACGTGTGGGACGATTCAGCACTCATCAAGGCCTATGACAGAGCTATCAACTTGGCGAAAGAAGAAGTCTCCAAACGCCTGGGCGTTGAGAGCCAAACAGACACGCGTAAACAAAAGAAAGCCCACTCAAAAAAGCAAAATCAACAACAAAAACAAATGCAAAAAGTACTGAAATATTGACAAAAAATCAAGTATTTTTGACAATAATTAGTTACTTCTTTTTTCCAATTTTTGTGATTTTAATTTGATTTTTAATTTCAGAAATGGGTAGTTGGTTCTCCTTGCCGTGCAATATATTCAGAGGATGGAGAATACTACGAGGCAGTTATAACAAAAATTTTTGAAAATACTGGCACTTGTACAGTAAAATTTATAGGTAATATTTCATGCTCCTGTTGTTTATTATTTTATTTAATCAGAAAATCTAATTTTACATGTGGTTATATTTTTGTATTTAGGGTATAATAATAAGGAAACAGTTGAACTTTGTGCTTTGATTGAATCGGATGGTCTACAAAGTCAAATCGCCCAACAAAAAGAGGCAACGACGTCTCAAGAAGAAAATTCAAATTCAATGGAGTATGAACAAACTCAAAAAGTGAATGGTTTTCATGTCAATGACAGTGATATAGTAAATGAATCTAAACTATTTAATAACATGTACATGACAGCACCTTCATTCAATCCACCAATGAGTTCTATACCACCAGCACCACCACTGCCTCCACAACTAATGGCTCGGTTAGTTTCATTATTTTAATTTAAATTAACTATCATTTATATTATGATTTTATTTTAATAGTTTGCCTGAGACTGATGCAGATGCCCTCTCAAGTATGTTAATGTCTTGGTACATCAGTGGTTTTCATACAGGTAAGCACAATTTAAAAAAAAAAAAAAAAGAATGAGAAATTCAATGACAACTTCAATTTTATTTCAGGTTATTACCATGGTTTGAAACAAGCTAAAAGTAATCAAGAACAGAAAAAAAAGTAGTTATAGAAATTTATGAATAATAAGTTATTTTTGAAACAAACATTTTCATTCCTTTTTTCTAGTAAACACCTCATTCCACAATGCCTATTCTACAAGTCATTTTAATTTATAATTAAAACATTAAAGTTTGATTATAATTTACAGACCTGGAACTATTAACACTTAAACAACTTGAAGTTTCTTTAGCATTAGAATTACTTATTGGTGTACCATAAGTTTTGTTCCAAGATTCATATTTTGACTGAATACTTGGTGAAATGGGCTTAATTATTTTCATTGCTTTTGCCAAATAGGCTAAATCATTAATACCATCATCATTTTTATATTGCTTCAAGGACAAATTCTCACTTTCCAAATAATTCCACACAGGGCGAAGTTGCATCATCCAAGCTTCTTTGCATAGTAGTTTTAGTTCTGCACACGAGTATCCATGGGTTTCTTCCAATATTGCTTCATATTGTGATTTTTTTAATAACTCAGGTTTGAGATAAATTTGAAATATATCATCTCTTGCACTTCTTTCTGGCAAACCTACGTAAATACGTTTTTCTAGTCGTCTCAAAAGAGCAGGATCAAGTTCCCTGTGTTCATTTCAAAACAAAAAAAATGAAGTCATTAATTGCAATTATAAAAAGAGTTGAAAGTTATATATTAACCATGGAACATTTGTAGCAGCTAGTAATAAAACGTTGGCATTTTCCATGGACAATAGCCCGTCTAAACGAGCTAAAAGTTCAGCTCTGAATCTTTTGCTAGGCTCTGATTTGTTATCAGAAGAATTACCAGTGCCTCCTCCGACTGTCCAATCAACTTCATCTATGAAAATGATCGAAGGCGCATAATACTTTGCTAAATCCGAAAGTACCTTCAGGAAAAAATAAATTTAACATAGAATCAAATGGCGTTGAATCAAGAAAAACATCTTGTTTATGATGGTCAAACTACTTACTCTTACGTATTTTTCGCTTTCTCCTCTCCATTTACTGATGAGAGAACTAGATGTAATATTAAAAAATGTGGTTTTACATTCCGTGGCTACAGCTTTAGCCAACATTGTTTTGCCTAAAGATAATTTATTTTCAACAGCAAATGAAAAAACAGTTGAAAAATTATTTCCAACTTGCCTGTTCCAGGAGGTCCATAGAGCAAGACACCCTTCCAAGGTGTCAATTTTTCATTAAACATGCATGGATACTTAAATGGATAAATTGCAGCTTCTTTAATCAACCCTTTGCAGTCTTCCAATCCTTTAACATCAGCCCAATGAACATTTAAGTCGCTTAAGACAATTTCCTGAAATAGTACGCATTTAAAAAGAAAGTCAAAGGACAAGTAAAGTGAAAATAAAATAAACCTTCGCTATAATTTCTGCTATTTCTCGCCACTCACATCCTGATGGGTAAAGACCGCTGAGTGGTTTTAAAAATCGTTTACTCAGGCCCATTTCCATAGTTTTGCTAGTATTTTTATTATCATCGACGCTTTTGTCGGCGAACAGTGGCGTCACGCATACATCGAAGGACGGCTCTAAATTCGCTTGCTGATTATTCTTACTTATTTTCTTTTCAGATAAATTTGTAGAAATGCTCTCTTCTTCCCATTTGCGATTCTTTCCTGTAGGCTTGGAGTTCCGTTCCTTTTTCGCATTTGGCCTAAGTTGATAGATCAATTCGCGGTCTTATTTTCATGGCCCAAAATTTCGATTTAATTTTAATAAAGTTCCTGTCCAACTTACGTTGAACTAGCGAAAGAAGCCTCGCCCTTTTTACAAATCTTCGGGTACTTGTTAAATTTTGAAAAATAATACTCGGAATATTCTAGCAATATTGTTTCCAAGTCAATGTTATCGCACACTTCGGTGTCAGTGGGTAGATGAGCTTCCTTTACGAATACGTCGCATGCGTCGGTAAATCTTAGCATGGGAACAAAAATTTTTAATGAAAAACTCACAGGATATACAACTCTCTTGATGAAGTGAATATTTACCCATGTTCTCGTAAGTATTCGGCAATCAAGTATAATATATTGCGTTTTCTCTCCACTGTACGTTTTTCCTCCTGATTAAACATTATAATCATTATAAAAATTACGTTTACAAGGTGAATGTTTCAATATTTTCTCAAAAAATTGATAGACAAAATCAAAGTAAAACTTTCAAATAATTAAAAAAGATTATGAGAAAAGATCAATATTTAGTGGGTGCATAAACATTACCAAATGTTTTCACTACTTTGTGATTGGAAATGTCAATGTGTTAATAATCGTGCGATAAAAGAGCTTATAGAAAGATTTACTTTTTCACGTGCGAGTTGAGTCGCGCGATTGCAACTGGCATTCATCGTTAGCCCTTCCATTTTCACAGATTTAACACTTGGCGAATTATTTACAATTTATTTTTCACAAATCATGTAATATTTTAGTTGGCCACTTTGGGATAACCTATGGTTGCCCCTTAACGGGTATAAGAATCACGGCTCGACGACGAGTGGCCGGAATCGGTAGTCATAGCAACATCAAACTTCAATTATCTGTGTCATAATTTATGATAAACAGCACTACTTATTTAGGTAATGGTACATTTATCGATACAAATAAGATAAATATAAACCTATTTTAGATGGGTTGAATGAAAATGTTGATAAAGAAAATCCTATTTGAAATTAGTCATATCATAAAATTTGAAACTTTGAGCAATTGTAGGAATACGGCTACGGTCTGGCTAAAGTCGCGCTCTTCCGCGGCGGTCTGCCGCTTACACACCCTCTCTTTCTGCCTGTAGCATCGAGTGCACGTATACCCGCCGCGGTGTTGGTGTACTACCGCTTGCGAATGTTCGATCGCGCGCCGCAAACTACTCGGGTCGTCGCTGCAGTTGCAGCAGCTCGCATGCGACAGTCTCGCGCGCGCCACGGATCCGCTCGGTGCACTCCCTCGACCGTGCCATGTAACCGCAGTCATCGCATTATAAGAGAGGAGTCCTCCCGCGAAGATGATTCAGCAAAAGCTGTAGATTTCGGGGTACGCCAGTCCCATTGGAGCTTTCGTTGGAGGAGCAACTCCGTCCGAAAGAGCAAAAGTCCAAGCTGAGATTCTGTATTGCGTCCGGATTAAACTGGGAGTGCACTACTCAGCTGCCAGTGCTGCTGCTGCGAGCATGTGCGACGTGAGGCTGTGTGCGTGACGACACGCGAAAAGTCGACGATAGCTGCATGTAAGCTGTGACGTGTTGTAAAAACTCGAGTGTCCCACTCGTCGAGAGCATTGCCAAAACAATTATTAGAGACTATTGAATCAATCGGAAGGTATACCAATAAATAACGCAAACACACAAAAGTGATCACTTAGTTCTCTTTTTCATCTTTGCTGCACATCGTTTGCATTAAGCTCTGCCTTGCCGTATACGCCTCAAACGCGTATATATAATCGTTTCCCACCTGCCGTTTGCACTCGCATCTTTCGCCGCGCACATCAGCGCACGCAGCATCGAGCTTGCATCACACGTATACTTGTATTATCCGCACCTCCGCATTTACAGCATCCGCAGTCGCTCCTTAAATGCTTCCGATTAGGCCAAAGCGCTGCCAAAGCGGTGTCATGTTCATCTGCACTCGCGCGATTTTAGGGAAAGCAGCGCAAACACGTGTTTTCATTCATGTATCGACATCGTTACACTGGAGCTGACGAAAGATTCGATGGGTTATTATTCGAGGGATGCACATGCCGTCTATTGCAAGCTCTCGAATAAAGACTTTTAGTTAACTTACATAAATGCATTTTAGCAAAACTTACTTAGCTTATCTGAAAGGTTTGACCTGATAAATGTTTACAAGCGGTGGATGAGTCAACTTGACTTTAAAACATTTACATCTAGATTTCATCGGTCATATGGAAATGTGTTGAAAAGAAGAGCTAAAAACTTTTGAACGAATAGTTATAACAATTAGATGGAACATTAATATTGTCATTACACCGCCCGGCCTTAGACAGACAGTTTCAATTGCAAAGATATCCTTGCACCGATTTGAAACGAATCTTAATTATGGCCACGTGTCGAGCGGCGCATCAAAAAGCATATCTCACTTTTCGACTTAATTGTTTTTCCGAGCAATTTATACATCCTTGATATCTCGTGGCTTCTCTCTGCGCATATATACACGTATGAAGTATTTGTTTGGCCCTTGCCTATCTGCAAATCAACACACACAAAATGATTCGCCTTCTTCGGTTCTATATCAAGCCCTTGCACTTCCACCTCTCAATGCCAAGTACAAAGGCAAGCTCCTCGCGCGCTATCGTGTGTCATGCACTGCACACACATTCATATACATAAATGCTGCACGCTCCGGATCGCCTTGAGATCTTAACTTGAATTATTTGAGAATTAAGCAATTTATATAGATATGTTATATGTACGTATATTCATTAGGAGAGGCATGTAGTCTACCGCCGACAGCAGACCCGCAGTATATACGACTGAGAAATCGCACCGTTGAAATAATAACAATATCCTAAAGAGAGAAAGAGAGAGAGAGAGAGAACAAGAAATCGATCTTGTGTATTATACTCGTACACGTTGTGAAGCGTCGATTTTCGCGTGCCTCGGATCAGAGAGCCTGCCCAATTCTAAGCGGACTGGAGCTCGTGCGCGTGCAGCGCAACAGCTGCGAGGCGCAATTTCAAAATCACCTCCAAAACTTTCGTTCGTTTTTCGCCACCCGTAGTAGTACTGTACGTCGAGGCGTCCGAAGAAGATATATAGAAGGGGCCTACCGCTGAGTCGAAATACAACAACAGCTATACTATGCTCGGAAGCCTCTACTTAGCCCCTCTGCTGCTCTTTCTCGTTCAAACAGGTGATTGTGTTTGCTGATTTTACTTAACATACTCACTTAAAAAAAACATCAAAAAATTGAAAGTTATCAAAAGTAACAAAGATGTAATCGCGATATCGGGGTTAAGTTTCAAAAAGTACAAATTTGACTCACGCATAGTTTGTTAAATGCTTAAAAATAAAATTTTCAAGCAATTGTGAATTAATTTGAATGCTGTTGTTTCTAATTTTGAAAGCAAATTCTGCACCTTGCATTTGGTAAGACTCATTCCCCTGTAAAAACTCTGTTCTTGAAAAGTATTATATCTCATTGCTAAAGGAAAAGATAAAAAAAATAGGTCAATTGATTCTAAAAGAGAAAAAGACGTGGAAAATTCGCAAAGAAAGTTTTGCGGTGTCGGTAAAAAGACTTGTTAAACGTGCACACCTTCGCAAACAAGCTTACACATATACATGTACCTAGCTTATTTTTCAACTCATGATGAATTCAAATCTCGTTCTTTTGGCGCGGCCCGGTACAGATGCGCTAGAGGAAAACTGCACGGACTTTCAGGGAGGTACCGTGAGGCACGGCTTGCTGTACGTACCAGGACCCGCGGTCTGCAGCCTCTGCGTTTGCTATCACTCCGAGCCGATGTGGTGCCAAGCCATTTACTGCACGCCTCCTTACGTAAGTATCAAATTTGCATAATTACATTATATATTTATACGCGATAAATTTAAATCGCATGCAGAGGATCGTGTTCCGGGCACTCTTTTATTATATATTGCCGAGTGGACCTTTGCTGAATAATTTACCCGATGCGAGTTGGAATTTAACTTATTTCGAGTGTATCAGATTCCTAGGGACTGCGATAGCTGTTAGAGAATATTTGATACGCCAGGTATTATTTACCGTCCGCAGATCCCACTGATATTTCATACGATGCGATGAATAGATTAAGGTACTCTTTTACTCTCTGAAAATCGATTGGAATTACCGTAGACTGTGAGAAGAGCTGTCATCAAACTTTGATAATTTAGTATTCGTGTTTCAAACACTTTTCATATCGTCAGATTCATCAAGTCTCAAGTTCTGATCAAAGTATTGATTATTGGATGTTGAAGCTAGATATTTTTTTGCATAGGAAATTAAGGTGCTTGTCAGATATTAAAAATTATCAAACGTTCACATAGTAATCTCTCAATTGTTACAAAAATATCGAATAAATATGCTTTATAATAATTTCAAGTTAGTACTTTGAGTACGTTGAATTGCGTGTATTAAACGTTTACTTGTAAATATGTTATTCAATTAAATCATACACGCACACTGATGTAATTTATTCGAGATAAAAGTCGGCTCTAGCATTTCACATGTTTTCGGCAACACGCGATTCATGTTTTTTCAGAAAATAGTCCCGATTCGATTATTCAAGTTAGTTGCGCTTTTTAATGCAATGTTAATCCCCCTAAAAGTAATCTGCAAAGTATTTTAAATAACAAACGGTGAAATAAAATACCTCATTGGAAATTGAGTTTGAGTAAGTGCCTTTGTATAAAGTAAATATTGCAACTGTGACCACATCCGACTATATTCTCACTGTTACTACTTGATTTAAGTCAATATTTAATTTTCTTTACGACAGATTTTTTCAACATAATTAACGCATACAAGATTGTTTGAATTCTTCATTAAAGATTCATATAACGCAATGAGTACCTTAACGAATATGAAAATTTTGTAAACGAAATTATGCGAAATATAAAATTTACTAAACCAAAATATGGTAAATTTTAAAAATTCAGAGAAAAAAATCGAAAAATGTACATTTGCCCGCGTATTTGTATGCAGACGTCACATTTAATACACCTGATGTTTATACATATAGATGGTCATAAGTGTCGGCTCAAAGCCAAGTAGTTGAGTAGCTATACTAGTGTCACATTGGAACACCACGAAATCTTTTCATTTATTTTGTATCGTATTTTGTACCGTGAACCATCCATCCATCACAGATTTCAAGGTTTTCGTTTTGCTTGGTAATTCATTTTTGTACATATATGAATGATGTACTATTGATTTTTATGAAACTTCTGGAATTCATTTTATTACATTCATAAGAAAAAACTTGAAAAACAAAAAATTTAATTTTAGTCAACAGAATATCAAAAATAACAATTCGTTTAAAATAAAAAAGTTATTTTTTGAATATTTTTTTTCCAACGGTAACTATACTGCATATTTGTTATCGTTTAAAACTTTTAATTGAGGCATCCTTGATATTATACATCAATCTTGTTAAAAATCAAATGTATATCGAGCGCGTTCAATTTTTGGCTTGATCAGCAATTTGAAGCTCGATCTAAATTTTGCCCCATTTTTTTTCGATAAACTCGATAATCCTCTCTATACTGGAAAGCCAATCTCGATGAAATGAAGAAGTTAATAAACAAGTTTTTTACGTGTATATTATAGTCTTACTACCCTTACCTTTTATACGTTAAGCTCCTCAACTTGCTACATACGTTTGACCTACAAGTTCAAAGAGTACAAAGCAAAGCTATATATTTTTCCCTAAAAGTTCTCTCTTCACTCTTAAGAAAACTACCAAATGTCCTAAGGCGAGGAAGAGTTTGAAAGCGAAAACGTGTCATTGACGCGCATACTAAGTTGATATTTCAGTCACATTGAAGAAGTAAAAGTAACTTTGCTGGTCAAACCCACTGCTTGTAATCTGCGCAAAAAAAATTAAGATCTACGAATGATCATTTATTTTTACCGCTCGTTTTTGTAATAAAAAATTTAATGTTCATTTCTTATTTTAATTTGAAAATTTGTCATTTCTAGAAGTGGAGAAAAAATCTAGTATATATCTGTCCAATAGGTTAAAATATCGTTAAATTCTACAATTGAACTCGATGATATTTAACAATTCGATTCTTCGAATTGATCCCATTGCTGTCACGTAGTATTCGTCTTCGAAGTCACGTATGTTGCTGAAAATTCCAAAAGAACGCTTTGAGTGTGTGACAGAATTTATTTTCTCGAACCGCTATGTAGTATAGCTAGCTACCCACTCGCGTTATTCGATTGTGTCTCGGAAATATTTCGGGAAAACGTAGGGATAGATCGCGTGACAGATGACAAGTTGATCGCCGAGGATGCGGTTACATTTTCGAATGCTTCCTAGGCCAATGATGTGTAATTACTTAGGCTCGAGTTTATATCCAGTCTGTACATAGGAGTCATTTCACGTCAAGTCTCCTAGCGCGGCGCCCGCGCGGCATTATTAATCGAAATTGCTCAATTTGTAACTCGCCAGAAAAGCACCTAAATGCACCCAGAAAAAATATGAGCCATATGATTTTGGTAGGAAATCTCCTCAGCTTTCCGATGATGAGGTCAGATTTTCAAAATTTTTCCATTTTCCCCGGAAAAACTTGACATAAACTTTCAAACTCAAATATCTCAAAAACGGCATTTTTAAGATTTTTTTAAATAGTGCCAATCGAAAGCTGAGGAAATTTCCTATCGATATGCAAGTTTTCAGAGAGTACTTTTGATAATTACTCAATGAAATACAGCGACGAACGTGTAAAAACGTGAGATTTTGCGCCGCGCGGGGTACTGCGCGCGGGAACAGCTGCCGCACGGGCCGAAATGTCACGTTTTTACACGTTCGTCGCTGTATTTCATTGAGTAATTATCAAAAGTACTCTCTGAAAACTTGCATATCGATAGGAAATTTTCTCAGCTTTCGATTGGCACTATTTAAAAAAATCTTAAAAATGCCGTTTTTGAGAAATTTGAGTTTGAAAGTTTATGTCAAGTTTTTCCGGGGAAAATGGAAAATTTTTGAAAATCTGACCTCATCATCGGAAAGCTGAGGAGATTTCCTATCAAAATCATATGGCACATATTTTTTCTGGGTGCATTTAGGTGCTTTTCTGGCGAGTTACAAATTGAACAATTTCGATTAATAATGCCGCACGGGCGGCGCGCTAGGAGACTTGACGTGAAATGACTCATAGATATAATACGCACAACACGAACCTCGCCACATGCAAATGCATCGCGCGCGACCAGAGACCCTGCCACGGTAGAAGGTCTAGTGTACGGTTAATTCTTTTTCCGTGTCTGAACGTCGTCAACCTTGAAATGGACATTTGTACGTGTGTGGCTTGCAGATCTTGCACGCCTTGCGTACGTATGCAAATTATTTTCAAAGCATGTCTGCGTGTGTATAAATATGGCCAATTCTCTGTGAAATTGAGTGGCCAAAAATTGTTTTTTTTTTCTGCTGGAATGAAAAATCTGATGTATTTGATGTTATACTTGTTTTCACCATCTATCAGCTTTTTTGCTCTCATTAAAAATTGTCCAAACATTCTGAGGAAAACTCGTGAATTTTTTTTCGATTAAAGTCCGAATGAAAATAGCTAAGGTTTGGACAATTGTTGGTTTAAAAATTCTCTAGCCCTTTTTTCTAAAATCATTCCGGTTTTTAGTATCTATAATAAGTATTAATTTATAGAAAAAACTTCAACTTTGATGCATTAAAAGAGAGTTAAAAACGGTTTCAAGTATTCTAATTGAATTTTTTGTGCATGTATGAAATCAACAACAAATTTTTTTTCATTTTAGTAAGAAAAAAAAATTGTTTGGCCATTCGATTTTACCAAGAATCAGTCATATATGTATGTTTTATATTATACGTAAACGCAAGTAGGAAATTATAGCAAGATTTATTACTGCGTGCAGCCGATGACATTACAATGACGAATAAAGTCTCCGTTATTTCAAGCATCGCGTTTCTTTCTTTTTCTTCGTTGCATTCGTAATGCTTTGCACGGTACTATCGCATTATACATTTGTAACGCGTGTTACAATTTTTCATTTTAAGTACTCTCAACTCTGTATGGTTAAAAAATGAGATTATTAATAACGTGTTCACGGTGAGCTTTTCAATTCATTGCCACACGCACATGCAGGCGGATATTTTTATAACGAAATTTCGCGAATAGTCGTCACTCATCCACGCGCAATCGATATACGTATATTTATGTATTCGAGTCATATTGAGCACAAAGATGCAGTTCTAATCTAGTCTATTTATCATTGTGGTCCGAAGCTATTCAAACACGTTGATCCTTGCGGTAATTAGGCTCAATTGATCTTTCCATCGTATCAAAATCGAATATGGAATTATTTCAATGACGAACAAATTATGTACGACGATAAAATAACTTTTTTATTTTAATTTTATATGATAACTAATGTCAATATTATCTCCTGCAGAAATGCAAAAAGTTTCGAGTGGGCGAGCGCTGCTGCGAGTTTGAGTGCCTCGACGGTACGGACGCGGCCAACGAATGGAACGACTCGGATTTGGTGATCGCCGCCGCGTCCGAGTCCATACATCGATGTCAGCAACTTTGGGCGTACTTCACATTGGGAATAGTCGTATCCACACTGATGTCGCTGTCACCTCGAGCCATTTTCAATGTTCGAGCTTCCTAGAATAGCCTCATTCGTCTTTGTGCGTAGAATGCAGAAACACACCCTTACACAAAGACAAATGGCCAAACGATGGCCTCGTAGATAGGTTCGTAGTCATTTGTAAGATTTTAATTTCTTATGATTGAAATATCACTCTAATACGATTTCTTACTTTTCTGCAGAGAACGATAATGTGCGCAATCGACTGATGTGTGTTACCCAGCGCAGCATATTCAAGCACTAAGATCTCCCACACAATGTCCAACAATCCTCGCTTAAACCTAATATGAATATATATAAAAGTATAATAATACATGAAAAACTACCTGTACGTACGTATGTGTGTATAATATACACTGTATATACTTAAACGTGTAATTTATCGCAAGGTAAAGCAGAGCTGAAGCATCCTCAAGAGAAATCAGCTGTGCTTATATACATACATACGTACACATATTAGTAGCTCTTCGCGTTAGCTTTCAAAGTCCATGTATTCGTTAGCGCGCTTATAACAAGCTGCCGCGGGGGATGCGCCGCTATCAAGCCATGTCCTTTGCACTGGATGGCTCAGTGAGAAAAAGAGGGAGAATTTGAGCTTTCAAGAGAGATCGCAGCTTTAAAAATATGAAAAAATCTTTTCGCAGCATGGATTGGTACACTTACTGGTGCTACACTCATAAGTAAAAATGCCAAGACGTAGAAAATAATGAGTGTCTGCGTATGCTACTAAGTATGTACTTAGCAACGAATTATTATACTAATAATATTATACGTGTATATTTAGAAAAGGGTGAGCAATGAGATTTGTGGAAAAGCGGTGAAGGTGACGAACTTTTCGAGTATTTTAGATTGCGAGTGCACGTTACTTCATAGGCGAGAGTGAGAAACACGAGTAAATTTTTTATCTTGTTTCGCGTAGCTTTTTCAGGGTGACTGTGGCATAGCATATATAAGTATAAAATAATTATGTACAGCGGCGCATTCAAAAGTACGTTGATCATTATTTGCTCATTAAGAAAACGAATAAATTATGTTTTAATTGAATTCCAAGAAACTAAATGTATTTCAAACGCCTGTTATTAAAGAAAGATACAGATTCATTTGCAACAAATAATAGGAATGAACGACGTTTAAAAACTTGTAAATACGAAGAGTGTCGATTATCCGTTTTTTTCTAAAATGAAAAAATGTATCTTACAAATATGCCTTTTAAATGATTTACGAATAATACATATAATTTTGGATCGTACTTTATATAATAGTTAAATTAAATTTTAACTGCTGATGATAAAAAATTAATCATTCAATATTCGAATACTTTTAAATTTTTAAAAATTCTTCACATAGTTTAAAGTAAGTTGAGCTTATAGTCTTTGAAATTCATTGGTGCTTACGATAGTAAATAACATTTTTCAATTTTACGGTTGTGTTAAAGTACAGACACAATTTTATTCCATTTAGTATATTTTTATTTAAAACGAGGACTTTCAAAAGATTTAATTCGCTAAATTTCAACTACGTAATTTTCCTGCTTTTAAATAATCTGATTTAGCATTGTTATGTTATTTATTACACTGAATTTATATACATGAAAAAATATGCATGAACATGAAATATATAAGTAATTAAAAAGAATTTTCATTTAATAAAAAAAAAGTAAAATTTGAAATATTTTAAATATGTTGCAAAAGTTGATTAAAAATTTTAAAACAAGTTGCTCCAAATATTTACAATCAGACAAACTGGCAAATGTTAGAATTTGAAAGATTTAGATTTAATCAGCACATGTGGATCATGTACTTTGATAAAATTAGCGTAACTATTCATCAAGTATTTCTTGTAAATTTGATCTACCACTAACTATTATTGCCAAACTCTGGGAAATCTGAAGAGACCACCCTAAAAGCGTTATATCAGTACCTGTGAAAATTTTAATCTAAAATAAAATCATGAGCATGTCATGAGACAACTTCAAGCAAGTTAAATATATATTAATATATATTCGTACATATATTGCGTCATATAATCATCAAGTGGCCTTTTATGAAAAATAAAATCATTGTAAATTATTTATTGCAAAATATAAAATAACATCGACATAAAAAAAATTGTGCCATTATTCGCTCGTAAACACAATAACATACACTTGCTAAAAATGTATCTTTAGTTAACAAGTTATATACCTTTTCAATGTTTTTTAGAAAAATACCACTCTTTATTGTCTTGAAAAAGTTAAAAGCTTTATTAGTCTCAGCTTTTCAGCCACAACGTATCGTAAAGGTCTTTACGCCTTTGGTTGAAAATCGGTATTTGTGATCGAACTTCATCGATAACTTTCAAATCTGAAAGCAAATGGTGCAAAAATTTAATGATTAAGAAATTATTTCTGATTGCAAAATGAATGTGATGTTGAAAAAAAATTACCGATATCTTTAACTATCATGTCCTCGATAGCCTCGAGCTCCGCAAGCACCTCGCCCCATGGGCTTGTGAGCATTGTGTGTCCCCAAGCGATGTAACCGGGACCACCGGCTCTCGCGGGCGACACACAAGCTACATAAAGCTGGTTGTCGTTGGCTCTTGCTCGCTGCAACAGCGACCAATGTAATGGACCAGTCGTCATGTTGAAAGCAGCAGGGTAAATGAGCATGGAGCAGCCTTGCTTACGATAAAGTTTTGCCATTTCTTCGAATCTAATGTCGTAGCAGATGCCCAGGCCGATTTTGCAATTTTTCACTTCGAATGTGTTCAAAGTTTCACCCGGGCTAAGAATATCGCTTTCTCGGAAAGTTATTTTGTCCTTGATGTCGATGTCAAATAAATGTACCTGTCGAAAAAAAAATGTAAGAACGGGGATAGTACAATTTTGTATTCGACTGGGTCATAGTTCAATGTCCGTTACGTAGTATTGGTAAAAAAAATTAAGCTTACGTCGTCATGGTGGGAGGAACAATACATAATTCATCTCATTGAGAGCTTTAGTTAACTGACTAAATTTTATCGCAGCTAATGCTTATTTTATGCGGTTGCAAACTGCGTAGAAAATCAACGTGACAAGCTTTTGATGCGATAAGGAAAATCGTGGAACAAGTCGGATTGAAAATAATCTTACTTTGCGATGCTTGGCAACAAGCTCTCCTTTTGGATTCCAAACGGTGCAAGTATTGTAATATTTGTCACCGTCTTTTTCTGGTATCGTTCCACCAATCACGTATATTCCATTTCTCTTGGCGGCATCGGCTAGTGCGATGCATGTTGCACCTTTTGGAATGGTCTCGGCGTATTTTGGAAAATGATCTATTGTTATAAAAGAAATACAAATAGAATGTTGAACGAAAGATCTCAAACATTAATTGTAAGTCGAGAAATTTAATAATTTTAAATGTTATTAGCGTAAGCGCAAGTATTGTTTTATTTTCGCTCTAAGAAAAAGTAATGAACTTATTTACCTGTGCCGTATGGAGAATTAAAACATTCTGGGAGAGTAATAATGTCAGCCCCTTTTTCTTTGGCTTTAGTAATAAAAGAAATTGCTTTGTTTATATTTGCCTCCTTATCATCGCCAACTGATAGCTGGGCAAGAGCCAACCGCAGAGCTAAAAAATTGGTAATATTTTTATAATAATTTGACAACAATTTTTAAATAGTTAAAATTTTTTACTAACTCGACATGGCTCTGACAGCTTGATTGGCAAAGTATCGAGTTTGCAACATTCTGAGGTTATGGTGTGCAGAGTGTTTGAAACCGCAATCTCGCTCATTTTCTGCGTCGTTCGTATGCAACACTCTTATCAATATTCAACAGATCGAGACATTTTTATTCATTTTATCTAAGTGGTACAAAAAATATTTAGAAATAAATCAACCATTATTTACTTGCCTTCTTCACTTTATTAACATAGTTTTTCTTTCAAATGTTCTTTGTTAATTGATTGAACACACACATGACATTTGAATAATTATTTATTATTAGAATTTAACTATGAACAAATGTTCATACTTTGAGGAGAGTGGATATGAATTTCTTTAAAAAATTGATTAGAATTTATGTACACGAATCAAAACGTTATGACCACATTTAATATTTCTAGTATTCTAGATTTAATACTTCTAGATAATATTACCAAAAAAATAATTGATAAAAAATAAGCATCACAAGCAAATAATTTTTTTTTTAAACGTCTAGGTCTCGAATAAAAATTTATGAAAATAGATAATCCTTGATGAATCCATAGGATTCATTTACATAAATATACTCATCAATCAGATGAATACCTGAGTTATTCTCTTCTTCTCGACTTTGGAGAACGGCTTGAACTTCTAGATCTTCTACGATGCTTATTCCTAGCTCTTTCAGAAGGATCTGAGTAATCTGATCTTCTATGCCTCGTTTTTTCACGTTCTTTCTCTTTTTTTCTATTTTTATGACTTAGTCTTTCTGATGAAATGTCACGATTTTTGTGTTTCTTAGACTTTTTTGATTTTTTAGGTTTATAATCTTCCTCACTAGTGTCAGAAGAATTTCTTCTGTGAGTTTTTCTTGGTTTTTCATCTCTATTATCATCAGATGAATCTCTATGTCTACTTTTTGATGAGCTCCTTTTCTTCATGACTTTTTTTGATTCTGAGCTACTATCAGATGAATCTCTTTTCTTCTTTTTTGTATATCTTTCTTTGGATCTACTTCTTCTACCATTTTTTTCATCAATATCTTTGGATATACCAGGCTTTGCACGTTCATTATTTTTATATTCTTGGTACTTGTTGATATCTATAAAGAATCAATGTTTATATTAAAAGCTAACTCAACAGTATAATATTTATCAATTCTGTATTTAAAGGGACTTTTAAAGCCTAGTATCACTTTGACTTGCTTATATTTTTTTAAAGACTCATTGTGTTCTATTTCAATATCAAAATAAAATATTTTAGATAAAAAGTCCCTTATAAATTTATTGAATAACTACTCACTTAAAACCTTTGAGAGGCGCAAATACTCGTCAGCAGTTACAGGTTCAACCAGTTGTTCGCCTATATTTATAACATCTCCTCCTAGTGCCAGTTTAATCATTAAACGAGCGTCTTGTTCATCAAATCCTTCTATCTGACCATAAAGACCAGCATTTTTGCCAGCTAAAATTCTCACATAACCAAATTTCTTTAGTTTTAATTCTCCTTCTTCTTGGTTTGCTTTCTTCGAACGGGCTTTCTGAACAATTAATTTGTCTGCTCCAAGTCCCATGCCTTTTGGACGTAGTTCTGGTATAGCCGGTGCCACAACTCTGTAATTGAATTTATCATTAAAATTTAAAATCAAAAAATAAAAGCCAAAAATTCAATTAAGAAAAGTTGTTCAAAAAATTCAATTATCAAAATGAGAGGTACTTACTTTTCATTTTTACCAATGCCTTTGTCTGGCTTCCAGCCCATTCCCCTAAGCATGGCTATGCCAAATTGTTCAATTGGAATATTTTCATAGTCTTCTAATGTAGACTGTTCCTGTCCTACTAAATTGTCTTCATTACCTATTGGGACGGTGAGATTATTTTCTGGTTTAGGTTTTTCTGAACTGAGGTCAGAAATTATTTCACGAGCAGCTTGCTCTTCTAATGTTAATGGTTTTTCATCATCGGGTTCTTTTTTAATATTAGTTACTGGAACTGGCAATTCACTTTTTGATGTTGTGCCATTCTGTATGTCATCATGCTTCTCTTGTTTGATAACTAATTCACTATTTTTCGTTTTTGACTCATAAATGTCCGCATCTACTTTGTTAACAATTCTATCATGCCAAGTCTTTGAACCAGTCATAGGAATTACTAGTTCGTTTTTTACCTCTTCTTCTTTGCTAAAATTAAAAAAATAACAATCAACATCTCATTTTGTTTTGTTATCAAATGTCAGTCAATAAGAGGTTATGTAGAATTGAAAACTAATGCAATACATACCCTATTATTTTGAAATTTTTATCATCCACACACTGGATATACTCGACTTTTTTCTTTTCCGGTGCCGGTACATTTTTTAAAGTTGGTTTTTTTATTGATTTCGAAAATCCAAAAGAAATCTTCTTCTCCTCGTCTGCCATTATTTATTTTTAAAATGTTGACGTTCGGGACGATTGACACTTTCGAGACTACTGTTGGCTACACTGTATTGTTTACTGTTGCGGGTAAATTTGCCATTGCCAACTGCAAATTTTGAATTGCATCTGTAAACGAAAATTTGAAATGATTAAAGTACTGTTGAAAATGCATATTTGGAACTTTTTAGTAGAATTTTTTAAAGCAATATATTTAGATTATTAAGTTAAGTAAAAAAAATTGATGTTGTTATATTGGGCATTCAAGATATATTTGTAAGTACGGAAATACTTTGGTATTTGTCTTTTCCAACAAATGAAGTAATTAAAACCTCTTATTACATAGCGAAAAGCGTTTAGAGCAATTAGAGGAAGTAAGTAGCGTTTGCGGCTTGGCAAAATATACATTAACACGCGGTACTTAATTAAAAGCCGTAAGTTTTGCTGAAAAGCACTGTCAATTATGGTATTCTGGAAAACAACGGTTACAAAAAGTGCGTGTTGGAGACGGATCCAGTACATAGCCGTGAGTGATTCTGGTGGGGGCGGCCAGAGAAATGCACTTGATTCATGTAAAATGTGTTTAGCGCACGGCGTTCACCTATGGTATCCCTTCAGTCATTGCACACTATTCACGAAGTTAACACGGGACGCATGACACTGCAACATGTCAAGGTAAGCTTTTCTGATTTAGTTTTTTTTTTTTTTTAATTATGAATCTTATCTTTTTTACGTGGAGGGATAATTTACTTGTGACAACGATGAACATTATTTTACCGTAAAAATTGTTTTCTTTAAAATCGAATGGATTTTTTTCGTGAATGTCTAGGCTTTACAGACATCAAACTGTTTGGATAAAAATACGACAGAATTGACAACATTTTTTATAATAATTAAAGTTTCTGTTTGATGAGATCAACAAGTTCCACTCAGCTCCAAAAACGTTGATTTACCACCCAATCCTTCTTATTTATTGACTTAAGCTGTGCTGCAATAATGAAAATAATTAAGAAAGATACAGGAAAAATCATTTTAATGTAAAATTAGTTACGTCCCGTTGTCCACGAGAACGCAAATAACTGTAAACACCAAGTTCTAAAGCACTTGCAAAGTGTAACACTGTATGCTTTTTGGAGGAATTACGATGATGTACCTGAAATGTCTCACGAATATTATATTTTATCTTTTTAACGAAGCTTGTGTAGCTTAACACTATTATTGATAACCTTCCAATTATAGTTTTCTTTTTTATTCTTTGAATTAAGTTCTTATTTGCATTATTTGTTTTATTTTCATTCAACATAATGCTTGAAATCTCAGCTGACGCTTTGTTGTTCATCTTGCAAAATTCAATTATTCACTTTTAACCTTGAAGTTAAATTCACGGTAGGGCTTGACCCGAAAGATTTTTTCTCACTGCATGTTGCAATAGTTTATTATGAGCGTTTGTTATTTATGAAATTATGGGAAAAAAACAAGTTTTGAGTAAGCTTTTCATAATTCATAGCAAATGTAACCTCAGTTTTATTAAATTATGTTTACTATTCGAACATGAATTCTATACCTTTCGTTGTAGACAAAATAATGTTAAAAATCTCAAAACGTTTGATAGAACATGTTGCTGAACCTATATTCCTCTTCGAGCTTTTTTTCATCAAATTGAAATAAACTGTGTTCGTTCAATTGCTCGTTGCATGCTAGCATAGAAAGAAACGAACTCTATACAATGCAAAATCGTAAAAAGTATTTCGCTGTATAGAACGCGCAATCGTGGCTTTGTCCCCGTTCGCGCAAAGACTCGCACCAGAAATCGGGATAAGAATTCAATGCAACGAGGATGCAATTATAGGAGCTGATTCGGTATTGGAGGTACTCGGTGCAATTTTCGAGATTGTCCAAATGTCCATTGTGCGTAAAAGACCGAACTAAGTTGGGAAAATTAATTGATTGCGTAACCCTGCTGATCGCTATACTTGTTACAAAAGATCGTTGAATTGTACGCACCATGCTTGCACGCGTTTCGGCGCGGTAATTAAAAACGTCGTCGCGTGCGACGAGTTCCCAGCTGAGATCGACGAGTCTGCGTGCTCGCGTGAGCCTGCGCTTGTCTGTGCGCTATCATGGAAATCCGATCGCTCCATTCATACGATTTTTTTTCCTGGTTCAAAATCCCTGGAGTTACGTATAGGCGAGTCAGGCCGTTTATCGGCGCACTCGGCAAAAGGCTCGAATCGCTCGTCATAGGATGGCGCGCGAGTGACTCGACGCGCGATGGGTCGCGCCGTGGTAAGTTGGCCGCTCGAAACCGGAACCGCGCGGATAATGACGCGGAAGCGAGTTATATTTGTCACGGGGATTGGGCTAGTACGCGCGCGTCGTCGCGCACCTGTCCGCACCGGCACACGCAGTCTCCCGATCTGCATGGTTTGTTACGTTAGACGTTCGCATTCATACGCGTACATAGTCATACGCGTGTATGCATGGGTTCTGATACACGGCAACCAATGCAGCCGGAAGGAAGATGCAGGCCGCGAGTATACGAGCCATAACACACATCGCGCGCTCACACATACGCGCGACTTGTTTATGCGCGTGTTCCATTGTTGTTGACGCGATCCAAACTCCGCGGCTGTTCGCATGCCATAGGCGCAAGTCATTAACCCGAAATCTTTACGCTTCGTCTACTATTTGCATTTTTTTTCCCACACGCAAAAAGCCCCGTGTGCGTCAAATTATATTATATGGTATTATGTGCGATATATGCGCGGGCGCGTGTGACTGCTCTCCGAGTGTATTACAGCACTCGCGCGCGACCATCGACTGAATGACTTGCGTGACGACGCTTTTCCCTTTTTTATTTCACGTTTTTTAATTGCGATAAAGGAGGGTTGAGAAACTATGTCGACCGGCACTTGGCTTGGAAATTTCGCAGCGTTCGCACAGGCACTTTTTTACGAATCAAAGGTGTCATGATTTCTTTATCGACTTTCAGACTCAATTTCATCCTAGTATTACTGTCCATTTCTCACGTGAGGGCGTTCGGTAAACGATCCACCGAAGGAGTTGGCTTCGCGTGGGATGTGACACCGGCCGATCGACAAGACTACCATCCCGGGAATCAGCTCGGTTGGTCCACGCTCCGCCTCGATGATTCGCCTTTCGAGGTGCGCAGCGTCAGTGGAGTCGGTAAGCGTCTCTCGAGCAAGTCGTCCGACGCAACGAGCGGCCAGCAAAAGCGACTCCGTCGCCAGGTCGACGAACAGCACATCGTCGATATCAAGCCCGAAAACAAAAGCTCGCGAGAAGCTCGAATGATGCCGTCGTCGTCGTCGGACAGCTGGTCCAAGTCGTTGGTTTCGCCGTCGGCGGCCTACCGACACCGATACGACCAGTACGATCCGATTTACGACGACGACGTGGACAACAGCGAGGCGGCTAATTTGCCTCCGCTCATAAGAGCCCACTACGCGCCAAAAACGGACTTTGTAACCAGTGGCAGAGGCAGGTCACTGAATCCTCACCTAGATGGACGCTATCCCGAAGCAAGAGAGTCTCGGGATTTACCGGTATCCAGAACGTACGAGGATTACGACGTACCGGTGTTCCGCAATATCGTTCGAGAGCACGATTTCGATGTTCAGCTACCGAAAAATTATTATCCCAATCGGCATCGGTCGCAGGTAAGACCACTCGTTGAATTGCCAATTAGTTTTTCTTTTCGTGGGATAGAGCTCGATAAAAATCGTATCGGTTTTACAGAGAGACTTTTATCACCGAGGCGCCGCCAGCAGCAGCATTCCCTACAACAACCGATATCGAGACGAAGACGAGGATTACGAAACGTACGGCCGATACAGACCGATGCCCAAGCCAAAGAGAATCATCTATTACGCCACCCTTCCGGAGATCGTGCGGAAGCCGGTCGATTTGAGAAACTATCAGCGCCCGTACGAAGCTGTAGTCGTGTCGGCGTCGCCGCAACTTCGACCGGAAGCCCAGATCGAGCCCGAAAGAAACAGAGTGGCGCCGAATACCGTTGCCGTAGTTCCAGCCGAGCCTAGCAGAAGGCCATTGCGATATTCCTATGATAACAACTATGACAATTACGTGAAAAGGTCAAGTTATTACGATCGCAGAAGACCTCCTTACGCCGCAGGTAAAACTACCTTCAGTGCGACCAGCTTTGAATGAGTAACTGCTGTGCAATTTGTGCAACTAATTTCTTGCTCTATATATTCGGGCCGAAAATACTGGTGTAGGCAATACTAACCAAATAATACTTCTTCATTTAAGAATTACCTTTGTGCATTGAAAGAAATCATAAATCGGTTCTGAAGTAATTAAATTGTATTCGTAATTTTTGCAAAAGATTTCTTTCAACGTATTTCTAATAGTTTGCTAGATTTATTACATAACGAATGATTTCATTTTCACTTATATTTTAAGCTTTCCTATGGGTACTGCTGATTTTCCTGGACACAAGATTTTATTTATAACAAATTTGTCTCTAATCAAGAACGCTTTCATTAATTTGTTTTGTAAGCATTTAAAAATAAAATGTCTATACATTTAATTTAACGGCTGTCCTATATTCTAGAGTTACCAAAATAAAACTCATAAAACCTATGTTCAACTTTTTCTCAATTATTGCAAATTTTGCAAATATTTTATTATGCACGTCAAACGATACAAAACACATAACGACAAAAATGAATTATGTAAATAAATAATTATAATTGTATAAATGAAAAATGAATTCGTTTATAGGTGAAGAGGATCGGTTGGATCGAATGCGAGCTAGTTTCAACGATCGAATCCGAAGCGATGATCGTAGGTATGAGAGCTTGGCTCGATCAGTCAATGATCGTAAAACTCCTTGGCCAATTCAGATTGGAGCAGAAGTCAACGTTAAAGAAAATGAAAGAATACCCGGTAGAAAGTTTTTTGGTCAAATTGATAACTACGGTAGATACGATGATTCAAGATACAAAAAAATTATCGATAACGAAGATAGAAAAGAAGTTTTCAATGACGAAAGAAAAAATAACGAACGCATTAATAATACAAATAGTAATAGCTACAATAATAACGACTCCAAATGATGATTAAATAATTATTAAATATTACTTTTGATGTAACAAATGAATAAAAAATAATACAAACACTATATTACAAATTTAAATTACAAATTAAAATTGAAATCGTTTAAAACCAATGTAAGTAATAAGTATGAAATTATAACTAAAGAAATGTCAATTAATTATTTTAGAATCAAATCTTTAAATTATTGATAACTGTAACTTTTAAAGCCTGTCCAAGTGAAGCTATTTTTACGATTTTCATATTGGTAATATAAGTTTTTTTTTCACAAATATATATTAAATATACATTAATTTTGAAAATTCGAAATGCTAATAGAATTAATTGGGATGCTTTATTCGAAATTCTACTGATTTTTTAAATTTTGCAACAGAAATTTTGCGGATTTCTATTTTGCTATTAAATGGTATCTACTGAAAAGATAACGAAAAATTTACCGACTGAGCAGAATAAGATTCTCGAGAGGTGCTGCCACCTACACCTAATTATAATAGAGAATATGTATTACAGTCTATATTTCTCGTGTGTCTCATTTGTAAACAAAGTTGGCATTTTTCAACCAATTATGTAGAACACACTAGGTAACGTAATCTCGTCGTATTTCAATACTTATAAATCATTGCCAACGTACCTCATTTTGGTTCAAAAAATGTCATTTCATGCGTTTAAAAATCAATAAATTTTATGAGAGAGTATCTTTTTTTTCATTTTATTACGAGTACTTTTTTATAAAATTATAGAAATTACTCCAAGTATTTTATGCTTATAAGTATTAGTTTCCAAATTTTCAGTACAATATTTTAGTTGACATATCAGTTCAATTTTTCATTGCTGGAAATAAGTATGAGTTTTGCAGTGCGCACCACGGTATTTTTTACTACATTATATAGCTTTGAAAGTTTATTCAAATTTCATTTTTTAAATTTCAGGTATTGAAACATAACATTTTTAGCTTGTTTTTTATTGTTCCAAAAGCCTTATCTTGAAATTAATTTAATGGACATTTTTTTAAATTATTGTACTATACTGAGTACGTTAAAGAAGTACTCTCGAACATTGTGCGCGTTTATAACCGTTCAAATGAATAACTTTTAATTGTTTTTGCTCAAAGTTTTCGTGAAATTTAAGAAACGTACACCATAGGTAAGCGTTAGCTCTGTTTGGGTCAACACCCGAGTGGTGAAACGTGCATAAGTATAAAAAATTCGGGCGTTCCATTGGACAGAATTACTACTCACCAAATATAGTTGAAATTTCTAAAAATCATTCAAATTTTTTTACTTGTCCATTTGGCATTTTTTGATGAATAATTGGTTAATTATTATTTATACAAGCTTGTCTGACAAACAGAGAAAGTATAATAGGAGCATATTAATTGTCAACCGAGGAGAGAAAAGTAAATAAATGTTTAAAGTTTTTTAAAATTAAAGTTCGTTTACATTTCTTCATATACTAATGTAGCAAAAGTATAAATTTCTTTCCAGCAACTAAATAATATTAAAAAATTTTGACATTTTTGATGCAGCAAAAAAACATGCATTAAATAAATAATATTTACAATTGAAGCTGCAATTAATTTTATAGTTCATAATATCAGTAATTTTGATATTCTAAACAAAGTTTGAGTTTTTATTTGTAAAGTGATTCATTGTTCTTCTTCTCTATGGTTTTGTACTTGATTTTGTTCTCTTGTTTGTTCTCTTATTATATCTTCGTACATTCGTCTCAGAAATGGTAGATCTTCTTCGCCATTTTCAATTCTTTGTAGCATTTCATGAATTTCATCGTACTCGTCTTTGAGGTCAACATATTGGCCAGGTTGTAATTCGGGAAAAAAATAAACTTGAATTTGTCCATTGTTTCGTAGTATGTACAAGCAAAATCTTTCTTCTCTTTGTACTCCACGGCAGATTTCTATCATATTCTCAGTAATCATATCATTTTCTATTAGTATAAGTAATCTCATACAGCGCGCGTGACCTAATAGATTTGTCATACTTTCTTCTGTTAAAGAAGGACATGAGTAAAGACAAAGTTTTTTCAAATTGTCACATCTGCGAAGATTTGTTCCTCTGATCTCTGTTTGATGACTTATAGATAATTTTTTTAAAAATCGTAAATTTAAAAACTTGTCTAGGATATCATCGTTAAATCCTACAATGTTTCCTATGTCTATTTCTTCTATTTCTCTATTATTACTAACAAATTTTTGTGCAATTTCCGTGGTGATTCTCCCGCCAAAGAGGATTAATTTTTTTAAACCACATACTCCAGACAAGAAGCTTAAATTAGTCTTAGGGTTTATTTTACTTATATGCAACACACTTAATTTTGTTGGACGGGCGAAATAGATTGGTCGAATCAACTTTACTTCATTTCCTATAATATGCAGTTCTTCTAGATTGTCAAATCTATCCATATTCTGTCAAATATTAGAATTCATATAAAATATTTTGCCATTTTTGGTGAATTATTCTTTATTTTTATCAATTCTTACCGTCAATATGCTTTCGATAAAATAGGCCTCTGGCATTTGAATATGCATATGTGTGATTGTCCTGGGCAATGCTTCCATAAATATTATTAAGTGACGAGCATTAAAATCCTTTGGATTTATTTCCCAAATTATTGTTTTTAATGTAGAACCCTTTCTGAAAATTGGTGCAAATAATACCATATCTATTTTATTTGAGGGTAGTAAAACTAATTCTTCAAGATGATTTATCACTTTTCCAAAAAAATTCTTGAGTATTTTTGATGGAACTTTAAAGTCCCATATTACGCTACGCAACTTTTCTCCTTTTGACAGCATGCTGAATACTTTCTCTATCCATCTTGGATGGTCTCTAGTATTGATTATAGGATGATGCTCGAAACATATACAACAAGATGTCAAGTATTTTATACTTTTTTCAAGTGTTTGCAGAACAGTATTAACTGTCAAATTTGGTCGTTTGATGAAATGTTGGCATACTTTCCAACCTGTCACGTTGATCCATCCTAATTCTTTCAATACATGGTACCAATTTTTACAAACTGAAAATATATATTAATAACTAGACTTAGTAATTTTTAATATAATATGGTATTAAATACGTAATTTTTAATAACTAAAGGCAGTTAGAGAATAAAATTAAAAAATAGCTAAGAAAAATCACTCATATTAAGGTGAATACTTTAGTTTATGAATGTTATGAAATTTAAGAATAAATTAGCTCTCTCTCTCTCTCTATTAAAGCCGATGAGACTATTGTTTGTTGTTGTTATGAAAGCTATGCTGAGACGATTCAAAGTACTACCGTAAACCTGAAATAGCTTTTGATCAGAGGGCGGGAAAGGTTACACGATGAAATTATTTTTAAAGAAGAAAAGTCAAAATAGTATGTTTGAGCAGTTTTGTGATTCAAACACGCAAAATTTGTGAATTAAATGCAAATTATTTGTTTACAAATTTCAAGAAAATTGATAAATTTGTTATAAATTGAGGAGGATATAAACGGAATTGACTCGATTAAAATATCACTTACCTAATGATGTAGCAAAACGATCCTGGATTGGTAATGTTGAAAATATACGTATTAAACAGTGTTCGCCTATTACATTAAAATTCCGCTCTGCAATTTCAAATGCCACTGGAACTTGTACTGCTTCTGGAGCTTCTTCCATTTTTGTTGCTGGTGTCTGCTCAGACTTGGATTTTTAATCGATTAATTGCTACGTACTGGTAGTAGAGCGTGCGTACGTATGAATGAATTCGATTTGATTGTGACCATCGACAATACACTCGACTTATTTTGTTTATTGTCAAATATTAGAATAGCTGCCGGCATTAAATTGAAAAGGAATGTTTACATAAATCATATTTTGAAATTAAGAGATTTGTTGAACTATTATTTTATATTATTATTTTTATTAAAGTGATTCAATTGACAAATGAATAGAAATACAAGTATATTCCAAGAAGCTCGGGGTTGATCTGGTCGTTATTTCTTGAGTTTAAAACTTACTGTAATGGCTAAAACAAAGCCATCAATTAATTTTGAGTAGTATTTGTAATATTATTTGTATTTTTTCGAACTGGATTAACCCATTAACGCGCAAAAGTGCAATTTTGTGCACGAATTTTCCG